TGCTGAATAAAAATATGACAAATGTACAGTTTTGCTATGCATAGTACATTTTTAAAGGTTTATTTATTTATACATACAAGAACTGGGGTGCAGACCAGATGTGAGGACTAGGGGTGAGAGGATTCACCATAGAGAGAGTGGGGAGCAGCACATGCAGAACTATTGAAGCAAACTGCTGAAGGGAATCAGCAGTTAGGACAGGAGAGGTCTGCTGGGCCATTTGTGTCAGTTCCCTGAGAGTTGATCAAACTCGTGTTGCTGTGGCTGTGGACAGTTTCATTTTGCAGTGCTTTAACTGTTGCACAACCAGGGAAGTTCCTATACATAGTACACTTCAATACTTATTTTGAAAAAAAAGAAAAAATGTCACTAGAATAAAGTCAAAATCAATTTTAAGATGCATTTCTTGAAAAAGAATGTTACCAAGGAATAGCACATATTAGTGGGAGTGAGAAACGGTCCAGTCACTATGACAAGCTGTATGGAGATTCCTCAGACTATTGAAAATGGAGCTAACACAGGACCAGGAATGCCGCTCCTGGGGATCTGCAAAAAGACACATATGCATTAATCCCTAGGACACCTGCACCTCTGTGCTTACTGCAGGGTTGACTGGCGCAAGGGGATGTGGTGTATACACAGTGGAATACTAGTCAGCAGTCAAAAAGATAAACTCATGCCATTCACAGCAACAAGGACGGAGCAAAAGAGGGATTATGCTGAGTGAAATGAGACAGAAGGAAAAAGAAAACAATATATGGTTTCACACATATAAGGACACAGGGGAATCAAATAAGGCCTCAGGGGAAATAATTACATGAAAAACACAACACAAAACAAAAATGAACAGACATCTATAAAGCAGACATTCTGCAGGGGGAGGGCAGAGAGCGGGATAGAAAGGAGGGAGGGGAGAACACAGGGTCTGTGGTGATGGTCAGGGGTGAACTAGCTTGGGGATTTGATGTGCAAATATCTGAGAAAAGAAAGCAAACAGAAAAGAACAGTGATGTAAAATAATATAAATATTTAAGATATAACAAATTACCAAATAGATAAAACTTA